AAATGTAATAGTCCATCTTATAGAGTCCATGTTATGTAGTCCATGTTATAGAGTCCATGTTATATAGACACTATTTTATAGTCCATGTTATATAGTCCATGTTATAGAGTCCATGTTATAGAGTCCATGTTATATAGTCCATGTTATAGAGTCCATGTTTTATAGTCCATGTTATATAGTCCATCTTATAGAGTCCATGTTATGTAGTCCATGTTATATAGACAATATGTTATAGTCCATGTTATATAGTCCATGTTTTATAGTCCATGTTATATAGTCCAAGTTATATAGTCCATGTTTTTTTTCCTGTGTTTTATAGTCCATGTTATATAGTCAGGAGCAAGTAAGCATGACGTCTACAGCTAGTGGTGAACACTGCCTCCTCTTTTCCACTCCTCTTCTCCTCCTCTCCTTTTCTCCTCTTCTCCTTTTATAGTCCATGTTATATAGTCCAATCTATATTATCCATGTTTTATAGTCTATGTTTTATAGTCCATGATATATAGTCCATGTTTTATAGTCCATGTTATGTAGTCTATGTTTTATAGTCCAAGTTTTATAGTCCAAGTTTTATAGTCCATGTTATATAGTCCATGTTATATAGTCCAAGTTGTATAGGTCATGTTATATAGTCCATGTTTTATAGTCCATGTTTTATAGTCCATGTTATATAGTCCTTGTTTTGTAGTCAAACTTTTGTAGTCCATGTTATATAGTCCATGTTTTTTTGTCTATATTTTATAGTCCATGTTATATAGTCCATGTTTTATAGTCCATATTATAGAGTCCATGTTATAGAGTCCATGCTTTGTAGTTTATCTTTTGTAGTCCATGTTATATAGTCCATGTTTTATAGTCCATGTTGTATAGTCCATGTTTTATTGTCAATGTTATATAGTCCTTGTTTTATAGTCCATGTTTTATAGTCCATGTTATATAGTCCATGTTATATAGTCCAAGTTGTATAGGTCATGTTATATAGTCCATGTTTTATAGTCCATGTTTTATAGTCCATGTTATGTAGTCCAAGTTATATAGTCCTTGTTTTGTAGTCAATCTTTTGTAGTCCATGTTATATAGTCCATGTTTTTTTGTCTATATTTTATAGTCCATGTTATATAGTCCATGTTTTATAGTCCATATTATAGAGTCCATGTTATAGAGTCCATGCTTTGTAGTTTATCTTTTGTAGTCCATGTTATATAGTCCATGTTTTATAGTCCATGTTGTATAGTCCATGTTTTATAGTCAATGTTATATAGTCCTTGTTTTATAGTCCATGTTCTATAGTCCATGTTATATAGTCCATGTTTTATAGTCCATGTTTTATTGTCCATGTTATATAGTCCATGTTTTATAGTCCATGTTTTATAGTCCATGTTATATAGTCCATGTTTTATTTTCCGTGTTTTATAGTCCATGTTATATAGTCAGGAGCAAGTAAGCATGACGTCTACAGCTAGTGGTGAACACAGCCTCCTCTCTTCCACTACTCTTCTCCTCCTCTCCTCCTCTCCTCCTCCTCTCTTCTCCTCCTCCCCTCCTCCCCTCCTCTCCTCCTCTCTTCTACTCATCCCCTCCTCTCCTCCTCTCCTCCTCTCTCCTGTCCCCTGGGTAAACCATACAACTGACAGCTTTATATGTCTGTGTCTCTAAGTGATTTTTAATCAACTGCTTTGTATGGGACTCTTCCCCTGGGCTGGTGTGTGTGGTGGTGGTGGGGGGGGGTTATGAATGGTATTGGTCATTTATAGTATATACACGCATGTGCGTGTGTGTTTGAGTGTGTGTGTGTGTGTGTGTGTGTGTGTGTGTGACCTGCTGTATATTTGTCAGGGGGTTGGTAATGTCAGGGCTGGTGGAATATGGAGCTGTTCATTAGTGTTTGGGATTAGCAGGCTGAGATGATTATTATGGTAAACCCAGAGACTGGGAGAGCACTGATAGAAGCCCACCTTATCAAAACAAACACCTTTAAAAGCATCCACTCTAACAAGAGGCCCACGAACTCACGCACGCACACATATATACACACTTGTAAGGAAGAAGGGAAGGAAGGATTCACACAGGCATTTATACTTCAACTATAGGTAGGGGAGAGTGGGGTAAATTTAGCAATTTTTTACTTTCAGCATCACTCTGTCAAGGGAAATATAATATTATTTCTAACAAAGATATCTACATATATTTCAGGATGTTGTGTATCCCTGGAAATAATCAGAATTCATGTAAACATTACAGTTTTGAAAACATATTTTGGCCCAAGAAAAGTGGTCTCTTGATACAATTTACCTCAGGTATGGGGTAAATTGAGCCCCGAGACAGGGTAAGTTAAGCCTCCTACAAATGTCTGCACTGAAATAAATATTATCACTACCTTTTTAAAACAACTTGCCATTGGCTCAAACATTGGCTCAATTTACCCCATGGTCATTGGCTCAACATGCCCCAAGGCAAACATTTTGACTATATTAGCACACGCAGCTACAAGGATGCACTTTCATGCTGGGGGGGGGGGGGGGGGGTGGGGGGGGGGGGGGGTTTTGGGGGGGTTTTGTTTTTTGGTTTGTAAAAATTTTGTTTGTTTTTTTGGTGTTTTTTTTTGGAAAAATTTTTAATTTTTTTTGGGGTTTTTTTTTTTTAAGATGAAATTGTTTTTTTTTCCGTTTTGTTTTTTTGAAAAATTTTTTTTTGGGGGCAACTTAACCCCCATTTAAAACCCAAAAAAATTCCCCCCCAAAAAAAAAAAAAACCCAAATCCCAAATTTTTCCCCCTTTTTTTCTTTTTCTACCCCCTTTTCTTCCACCCCTTTTCTTCCCTTTTCCCTCCCCCCCTCTCCCTTTTTCCCCTTTTTTTTATTTTTTTTTTCCTCCCCTTCCCCCCTTCCCCTCTCCCCTTTTTTTTCCCCCCCTTCCCCCCCTTCCCCTCCCCCCTTTTTTTCCTTCCTCCCTTTTTTTTTTTTTTCCCCCTCTTTCCCCCCCCCCCTCTCCCTCTTTCCCCTTTTCTTCCTCTTTTTTTTCCTTTTTTCCCCCCCCCCCTTTATTTTTCCCCCCCCGGCCTTTTTTTTTCTTCCCCCCCTTTTTCCCCCGGGGGGGCCGTTTGCCCCCCCCTTTTTTT